GGATCATCAAATAACACTATATCAGTATTATAATACACAGCTCTCGCAATATTGACTCGCTGTTTTTGTCTGAAGAATCAAAATCGAAAATTTTTTTAAAAATCTATATTCTATCAATATATATAACTAATATAATAACGTACCCTCCAGATAAATTAACCCCTCTCTCTCCAATTTCGGTCAAGTCAGCAGCGGGCAACACTTCTAAATCTGGTTCTAAACAACAATCTTTAATCACTTGTCGATACTTTTGTTCATCAAAAGGTAATCCAAAAGTAATATTGTCTCTAAGTGTAGCATTTTGTATCCACGCAGTTTGAGGACAGTACCCAACATTTCCGCCAAATGAGACTTCTCCTTTAATTCTTTTCATTTCACCAACCAGAGCTGACAATAATGAAGATTTACCAGATCCTGCAGAACCAACAATGGCAATTAACTTTCCACGAGGTATTGAAATATTAATATTACGAAGTTGAGATTTTGGAGAAAGTAGATGAGAATTTACAAGGTTTTTGGTCGAACCAGCAGAAGTAAAATCTGTAAAGATGTCTGGAACCTTTTTATTAGTAACAAAAGTTGAAACATAATTTTCATTCTCATTCTCATCAAATCTGTTATATAATTTTGATTTTTTTTCTTTTTGCTTTTTTTTTGGTTTATCAATAATTTCTTTTGGTGAAGCACTTTCCCAAATAAATTCACCATCAGTAACTTTAATAGCATATTTTTCGTCCGGATTGATTACTGGTAAAACAGATAATTCATCAGCCAGCAAAAATTCATTTATCCGATTAATCGCCACATAGGCATCAGTAATAGAACCTATAACAATTGGCAAGCGCAATAAAGGTACTCGGAGAGTGCCGAATAATGCCAAAGAAGAGAATACAATTTCGGCGTCGAGGATGCCTCCTGTCAATGAAAATGTTATAAATGATAAAATGCAAGCAAATATTGGAACGGCCTATAAATAATCAAGCACAATTAAGAGATTAAGAAAGATAAGAAATACAATAAGAAACAAAGATATGATCAAATTTAGTTACTGCAAATATAAGAAAATTACCATTGAAACACCAGTAATAGCAGATCTAATAATTAACAAAAACCTAACCAAACTAATCTCTTTATTTCTTAATTGATTAAGAGCATCAGCAAAATTATCTTCCAAAGCATAACATTTAATTGCTTTAATTCCCAATAAAATCTCTTGAATTAATTTTATCCGTTCATCGGTAACACTAGCAGCTTTAGTCCTGGCACGTGCCAATAGTGACACAACCATACATTGCATAGGACCCACTAACGCTAATAAAGCAAAACCAACTAATGCAGATAGACCAATATTAAATAGTAACAAACTCAATGCTATACAAATTTGAATTGGAGAACACCAAATCACATGAAAGTAACCGCATGCATAGTCTATACGCGTAGTATCAGTGGACATTAAGTTAGTAATCTTTCCATTAGTAAATAAAGTTCTAGCATTTCCACTCAAGACTAAGACTTTCCGATAGATAGCAGTTATAAGAATAGTGCGAGAGAGGAAACCAGTTTCCAATCCAAAATAAAGGCTAAAGGCGAACAAAATGCCATCACACATTTTCATTAAGAACAAGACAACGATTAAAACGTATCCAATATGAGCAGATGGTTGCACACCGTTATTTAAGTTAG